GTTTCATGAGGTAGTACATGGAATACTGTCTTCTTTGGTTGTTTATTAAATAATTGTACTGGTCAATGTTCCATATATGAGTAGGGCCTGCATAATCTCAGTGCTTCTCAAACTTTCTATTCTTGATGGCTGATTTATGCAATAAAGATATAAAGTTAGGGACATAACTCCTTATAATATGTTCCTATAGACTTCATTTTAAATGTATAAATAATTTAACAGCCCCTTACGAAGATTATGATTACAATGTATTCTTATGTCTGAATTATAGCAAAGAGAAAATGTACTTTTTAGTAAAATATGGTATATCCAACTCAATATATCTGAATTCAATATTTCTAAAGAATTTGATTTACTAGATTTCTCTCTATGCTTCAGTTACGCATCTGCTGCTATTTCATTATGTGTCCACTTGAAGATTTTTAGTTTAGTGTATATGACAGCTGTCCAGTATAATATTCTGAAATGCTGTAATTTACATACTTATACATGAGAGTTAATGTATGTGATACTTTGGAAATTTCCCTCTGAAACAAATCACAGATACTGGTACCCACATGATCCTCATTTGCCTAAGTTCATGGTTCCCCCATAGTGTAACCACCTTGGCCTTCATTACTCTGCACATGTGGCATTGCCTTTTAATATGTTATTCATTTTGCGTATAGCTTCATTTTTGGTTGCTCTGATATCTTCTAATGTTCTTCGACATGTATAAAAATTGGTACTGAAATGATCATTTTGTACATAAAATTGGAAAGGCCAGAATATTCAACAGCTAGACAGTTACATTGCTCTCATGCAGCATAAACACATGCAATTTATTTGATACCTAATGGAAGCAATCATAATGTCACCCAGGAAATCAATCCTATATTTGAGAATCTTTCTCCAAAATAGGCTATCTATAATTGATAAGTACAAGTATATTACATAAAGACCTATAATTTTTTTTTTTCAGAAATATGTTTATTTTATTATAAGTTTCTTTCAACTTCTGTATGCAAATGAAACGAACGAGTGTACTAGGCTCTTCTTATATGAAAAGTGCCCACAAACACACAGTCAAGGTTCAGAGGACGCATTAAATATCTGTTTTCAGTTTTTTGCTCTGTAAAGTAATTGTTATTGTTCATATTGTGCTCCTGGGTTATGACACTATTTAGTCTGGTAAGTAGGTACCATTTTAAAAATTATGTAGAAGATGGGAGGAAAAGGAACAAGTCATGGAGGATAAGAGTGGCCAATCAGAAAGAAGAGTGCAGAAATGAGGATGGGCCCGAGATGAGCCAGTCAGACCCATGGTCCCTTAGAAGTGTAACTTTTCTGGGAAGGCAGGAAGAGTAACAAAGTAACACATTGTAATAACCCAGAAAATTAACCACCATGAAAACCTCATGTCTTGTACTTTTCTCTTCCTTGTGGCCTTGCATATTCGAAGTTTCCTTCTGCAGTCCATTTCAGTTCAAAAATTGTCTTCTGATCGTCAAATATTCTCCTAAGTACCATATCATGTTTGAATATATATATTAATAAAGATATGAAATTTTGACAATAACATGCCCATTACTTGCATACATTTAGAGAGACTGGCTAAAAGATGCATTTATTTTCAATACTAAACACTTCCTGAACTATCATATCTTCTACACTCTAATGAACACAGTAATGTCCCAATATATTGTACTGGACAGTTCTGATGTGGTATTTACTTTGTATGTACCATCTGTAAAATGGTATAATATTTTTGCATAAGGTTTAAGTAAACCAGTTTGAGAAATTCTGCAACAGTTTCGATGTAGGATGCCAACAATTAGTACAATTCTATATTTTTAATGTTTAGCACAGGTATTTAAAAATACAGTTCCAAATATGTTTCTGTAATCTTGGCTTCTATAATGTCAAAATGTATTTTTCTGAACGTGAATTTTGTTTTAAAGTTCATAGAAATTGTCAGTGTATTTAAACAACACCATGTAACATGTGGCAAATAGGATCACATTTACGTATTGAGCTCATGTCTAATTTTGTACGTAAACAATAGTTTGCTAGTTTTGTACTAGTTTTGTAATCTATGGAAGAATGAATATTGCTATATTTATTCTAGTGTTCCAATGTATTATATATATATAAATAGTAATTTAACAGATAAGAAAACTAAAATTGGTAGCTGTTCATTGCAAAAGTCAGTCTCTACACTATACAGTTAATCTTTTTTTTTAAACAAAGAAAATTTAAAGTAAACAGGATGTACATAAATGTACAGCGATTATTGTATATGATCTTGTTTAATACCACAGGTTCTTGTTGTTATTATTAATAAAAATGCAATTAGAATATTAAATAAAATTTATGGCATTCTTGAATTGTGAAAACTGTGGTAAATATTACTAGTGTAAAGAATTTATTTTAGAACATATTTTGTAATTGTTCTGTTACAGTGAACTGTGACCTTTTGTGCTGTTGTCTGAATTTTAGTTTAAAATTTGGGTCTTTGTAATAAACACCTTATATCAGATTGTGTTCTTTTGGATTGTGACATTCTGTATGCTGAAACAAATATTTCGGAGTTAAGGGCAGTGTGCATGGGCCTTTTTTTGGCACCCCTCTGTCTGAGCTCCCCTTGCTCCTATTTTTCCAGCTCCTTTCACATTTCATCCTCCACCGTACTGTCTACAGTCCCTGTTCTGGGTTCACCTGTACCTCCCACTGGCCACCTCTCCTTTAGCAAATGTGGCCATATTCAGGGCCAGAATCAGTTACCCTTCTTATTTCTATTGGTTCCCTCTGTGTTTCTCTCCAGGTTTACAGTTAAACCATATTTTGCATGCATGGCTCAGTCTGCTTGTTTCCTGCTGGTTGCTTACTTGGCTTACTCTTTGAACTCAAAGATAGAGGCCCTACAGTACCCTGAAATGTCAGCAAAATTCTAAAGGACTACACAGCGTCATATACCAGTAGTTAATGTCTATCGGTATTTCTTAATCATTTAGAAATTTTACATATTTTATGCTCAATATTTATATTATTTTACCATATTTTAAAAAGCTGCCACACTGGGTTTCTAATCACAAAATGTCCTCACACATGTACAGGAGGTCAGACAGCTTCCAAGGCTTCTAAGATCCATAGTTATTTCCTTTGAATGTCACAAAAGTTTGCCAATTTTTCTCTTCAATCATAATTTCACTTGAGACCAAAGCCTTGATTTCGACACATGGAATACCTAAGACCATAACTCTGACATTAGAATGGAGGAAAGACAGAAAGAGAGGAAGGAAACAAAGAATAAAAGAATGTAATAACATAAGAAGAAAAGCAATAAATAAAGTCCCCTAGGGTGACTATGAAGGGTCGTATGTTCTGGGAAGTGACATCATGTAGAATGGTGGTTTCAGAGAACATGTTGCCTATCTCTTCAGGTAAAATCTTAGTTTTGGGACAGGAGCTCAGAGGATAACACAGTCTGACCCTGAAGAGGACAATGAGAATCCACCAAATTTGATCCAACTGACAAAGAGTATCTTATAGTTCTATATATTAAAAGGTAAAATTGTCCCTATGCTTAACTAATTAAGCACTATGCCATGAAGGTGTATGGTGGAGCAGATGTATAGATCCACATTTTCTTGACCTTGGCACCAAATGGAGGCGAGTGGTCTGCTTCAAGCCATGGCCACTTTCCCCTGGGGAAAGAGCCCACCCCCAGTACCCATTGGATAGGAGGTTGGATGGACCCTAGCCGGTCTGGATGATGTGCAGAAACTTAACTGTGCCAGGACTCAAATTCTGATCCCTCAGTCGTCCAGCCCATAGCCAATTCCTATACTGACTACACTATCCCAGCTCCTCTCTATATATTATGAAGAAAAAAAAGTTAATATTATGTGATAATACAAACTGTAACATCTCCATCTTTGTCCGATACCCTTACTTACAATTAAAGTTCTCCCACATTTTCTTCATCCCATAATTCAAATCTCCTAATACTTACCCCCACTCACTACTTCAACCCCTTTACTGCGTGGTTTGCTTAATGCCTCTGTCTATCCCATGCTTCACATCTCCTGTATCATTGATCTTTGCAGTACCCAAGGCAGTCCACGATGATACACTTCTGTTTTGGGATTTCCAGGGCACCACCCTAGACGCTGATAAAGTAGAAGTTAAGTTATCTCTGTGCTTAATTGATTAAGCACCATGCCTTGAAGACAAGGGGGAGTAGAGGTATAGAGCCACCATTCTTGACCTAATCACTCCTAAGTGATCTTGAAATGAATTACAACAAGGTGAGTTGAAAAACACCTCCATTTGTTCCTAAGAAACAAACCCAAGCAGCAGAGTAACATAAACTGCACATGTTCAGTTGGACTTCCCTACACTTTTGTGTGATCTGCCACTAATCGTCTATGAGCTGCAGCTGTGTAAATCACACTGTGTATACAGTGTCAATACAGAGCTCACAGCAATGACTGATGATTGACGTTCAACAGTAACCCATCATCAAGACTATCACAATGCTCATCATTAATACCATGATCAACATCTCCATGACCTTTATCATCAGCACCATGGAAATCTTCAACATCAACAAGAAAACTATCACCATCAAAATGCCCATGATTATCACCATAACCATGACCATGCCCAACACATCATGATAACTTATTGTCAGATGAAGTCAAGACAGCGGTCACGATGTAATTCTGTCAACATGAAAGCGCTCTACAGTGACTGCCTGAGCTTTTGTGGAGGTGAGTGGACAACAGAAGTGACTGTTGAAAAATAACTGTGTACAATTGAAGAATAAAGTTAAAAAAAAAACTGTTTTTGGTTCAATGAAATGTGTAATTCCACCACCAAAAAAAAAGTTTTACCTTTTTTCCTACCCTCATATTTTTAACTGGTCAGGTTAAAAATAAAATTGGATTTGAAATGTACTAAGGTAAGTTCATTACGAGTAAGTGGTGTATGTTAAATCCAATATTACACAGACGGTATTACAATATAATACACTTTATTAGTAAAAAATACAAAATTCAATGCTTCAAGCTAATACACAATTGTCAAAGCAGTTAACAACTGTTTTAACAAGCTGTATTGACATCTGCATGTTGTCACCATTAAACACATCTTGGTAATTTGTAATATATGTCAACTATAATATATTAAATATCAGTTTGGTCAGCTTAATGACCAGATATTCCATTCTATAACATAAAGACACATCAGTGGTATGGGGCAAAATCGCACTTTCTCACATATCAATTAAACACAATAAATACTGCATCTATAATATATTGTACATGGTATGGGGAAGCTACCATAAACATATATACATAAATCAGTTGTGGGTCTATGTTTCTTGGATATTCTGTATGATAAAGAAACTCTACTTAAATACTTCTATGAACCAATGATTAATGACTTAAAATATCATTGACTGCTCTTATGTTATTTCTCCAGTGTTATAAAGCATGCTTGATGATATGTAAGCTGCATCAGTTGTTCCCAACCTGTGACACAAGTATCCTTCAACTACGTCAAGCCTGACTTCTCTGTTTTTAGAGACTGTTTCTTTGCATGGATTGATGGAGATTTATAATTTCTAGCACAAAAGCAGTAAGACTGGTAAAATTTGCAGTGCACCTGGATTATGTACTATTTTCAAAATGGTCATGCCATCTTCCTATTTAATGAAATCCCCATTTCATGCAGAACACTATTATCTATGCAAATTAAATAACATATATTCATATGTAAATAGAAGATATATGGAAGGCGAGTTGTGCAAAATATTGAATTAATCTCCTTTACTTCACGTTGTATGAAAATATATAGAAACATTTTGAGAGATTTTGCAGATAATGTATAATCGGAAAGTTGGTTACGTCAGATAAAAGGACTCTTTACAGATTTTTACCAGAATATGTGGACTAATGAGGTTGGGAACATGGAACCTAAAGGGAAATTTATCTTTAGGTGCTACATTTACCTTGCTTATAGTTAAATCAATTTGCAATATCAGGTAAATATGAACTTTCAGATCTTGAGTATTAATTGTCTCTTTATTGTATACACTACTTATTAGAGTTTAATTGTTAAATCCTCCTGGTCCCTTTCCAAGTCTTGTGCTGAACTGTTGTCCTTGCTCTGGCCTGGAGTGAGGCAACCCTTTTCCTCTTCAGTGGGGGAAACTGGGGAAGTCGGAGACATAGAAGAATCCAAAGATGCTGATGTCACCGAGCTGTTTGATCTTTCAACATGCCAGTGGCTACCACTGCCATCTGTATCTTCAGATCCCAATGAGATATCTGCTATGATTCCACTTTCTGAAACAAAAATAACAGAAGTTTACACTTGTACATCAGTCACTAAACGAGACTGGGAGGGCCAGAGTCTATAAAGAAGCACAATAAATCAATAACACCAACATCTTTATACACAACAATGAAAAGTAAATTAGCGACAGCCTCTGAATCCATATCAAATTCCAGCAAAATCCCTGGCTCATATTACAACATTTATGAGATATGCCTAAAACACATCTATGCCCATGTGTAAACTAAACCTTTGTATGGATTCACATCACTGAACGTCGGCCATACTGAACAATTCTGAATGGAACCTACTCGTCCAGAATTTGAACGGCATCCATCACGGCATTTACAACATATGTCTAAAAATACATTTTTATTTAAACTATGCCTTATTAGGGATCCCGAGAGCTGAATGTGAGGTATGCCAGATAAACCTCACTGTTACTCCCCCATATTGTGTTTGTACAGAATCTGTGGAAGCATTTATGTGATACGTCTAAACATTCGTTCATGTCTTTATTTAAAATAGGCCTTCTTACACATCCATCCGGCTGAACGTCCTAAGTGCTAAATAACTTTGGATGGAAGACTCTCACAAGGAATTTGAAATTTCTGAACCAGATTATGACACAGGCATAAAAATTCATTTATGGCCATACATCAACCATGCTTTCTTATGGATCCATGTGGCTCAGATTTAGACATGCCAAACCAGAAACATCCCATATCAAACTTGAACAGAATGTATACAGCAGTACCCTTAAATTGTGGCCCCCCAATTCCTAAATAGAAATGCAACCTAATTCACCATTAAAAAAGAGGGCACACAATAGTCTCACTGCATTCTTACCCACAGAGCACTGACTATTGAGAGTGGTGGACCGATGATGAGTCTGAGGACTGTCTGCTGGGTCAAAGCCCAGGTTGATAAGAGGTCCATATCCTGAAGCAGAGGAGTGACTGGTGGTGCTGCTGCTGCTGCCACCAGAAGAAGAACTGCTCACAGAAATTATGGAGTGAGGTCGCTTGTGGCTACGTAAGAGCTCTCCTGACGACACCGTGATTGAGTTGCGGAACCGCGGGGCAGCTGCAAAGAAATGTGTGTTGAGTGAAGCAGCAACTGAATGAGTGCTCGGTATCATCTGATCTAGTAACACTACACTCACAACATATAAACAGCAAATATAGCAATCTTTCATTTCATTTATTCACCTTTCATAAAACCTGTCGAGAATACATTCTCATGCGGATGTGGAGATTGTCCTTGTTACAGTCACAACTAAGGATTACAGTTGTCATCCAATAGCATGCACATTTGTATAAAATACTGATAAAACACATAAAATATAATAAATTAATTTTAGTAGTAAAAGTAATGGCAAACGTTATACAATTTGTACAGTTTTATGCAAGTCTGTTAATTAAAAATTCAATAGTTAAAACACAATGTCATTAATGAGTCTTGTATAACATACATCAATTATATAATAAATTGAAACAAAGACTAGTATACAGTAATATAAAAACTGTGTATATCTAAGATAAGCATCTAAAAACCAGAACACAGACTGACAACTTTGTCTTCCTTTAATTGTAAAGCAAGACAACTACTCGCACCTTAAAAAGATTTATAGCCAAAATATTCCCGTAAAGAATAAAAAGAATGTAAATATAAAGATTGTTTTAATTGTACCTCAAAACACTTAGTGTCACTCAATATATCCTTAATATATTGTGGTAGATTATTATAGACCTTTGTTCCTAAACAGTAAACTCCCTTTTGGTATTTACTCAAATTTACAAGAGGCCGATGTAGATTATTTTGCTGTCTGGTATTTATTCTATGAATCTCTGAATTTACTATGAATTTGTTTCTATTTTTTATCACAAAGAGCATAAGAGATAGTATGTACTGAGATGCCAGTGGTAAGATTTCTAATTCTCTAAATAAGTTCCTGCACGAATCCCTCGTTCTGCGTCCCAACATAATTCTAATTATATTCTTTTGCATTCTAAAAATTGTTTATACTTTGGAGTGGGCTACCCCAAAAGGGTAAACCATAATTTATAATAGAATTAAAATAAGAGTGATAAACCATTTTTAAGGTATTTATGGATAATATAGGTACAGTTTTATCATTTATAGTTTTGGGTAAATTGTTTATATAAATGAGAAATAACAATGGACCCAGAATTGAACCTTGCAGGATACCATGTCTAATTTTGCCCCATGTCGAAAATTCATTGAGATTAAGATTTATATTTGTAATTAAAACCCTTTGATATCTATTTCTGAAATAAGATTCAAGCCATATTTTAGCTTTACCCTTTATCCCACAGAACTCCAATTTTGACAATAGAACCTCATGATTAACACAATCGAAGGCCTTTTCTAGGTCACACAAAATGCCTCCTATTAAGTTTTTGCTGTTTAAGGTTTTACAGATTTCATTCACTAACTTGTATATAGCCTCATCTGTTGAAGATTTTGTTCTAAAACCAAACTGTTCTTCCACTAAAATGTTATTGTTATTTAAGTGCTCAATCATTTGAATGCTCATAGCTTTTTCTAATACCTTGGAGAACAAAGTTAAAAGCGATATAGGCCTATAGTTGGAAATATTTGTTTTTTCACCTTTTTTAAACAGTGGTCTTATTTCTCAGTATTTTAACCTTTATCGGACGAACGTCATCATATGATGTCGTTAAAAGTTAGGGCAGCTGGCCGAACGTCATCATATGATGTCGCGGATTCCACGCGTGTAAGGTTTTTTTAATATTATATTAAAAATATAAATTGTTGTTCTATTTACATGATTTTTGGTCACCACCTTTATAAGGAGACAGCCTTCGTTCCTGCATGATCTAATGTAATCTAGGGACGTCATATGACGTTAAAAGTAAGGACAAATTTAAGAACGACATCATATGATGTCGCGCATTCCAC